AGTGGAGGGACAGCGATGGGAACATCCTTCCTGCTGAGGAGCCACAGGTGTCACACACAGGAGAGCGCTATGACATCACCCTCCTCACCACGGTGACCAGGACAAACAGCAACGTCTTCCACTGTGTAGCCACACAGGAGGAGCTCAGCCATCGAACTGAGGATAAACTCTACGTCCCTTACTGCGGTAAGATTTGTTTTTTAGTATTTTACAGAACAAAGAATTCTCCAAAAGTTGATTCTGTTCATCTGGACGTAGGGTTTTAAGTGGGAGAAACGTTTCGTCACTCATCCAAGTGACTTCTTCAATCTCAGCTGACTGCAGGTTTCCCCAATCTTATAAACAGTACATTTGCATAATCAGTAAAACTAGCATCACTGAAGGAACAATTGTAATCGTTGTTTCTGACAAAATACTTGGAAGAACCTACTTTCTAAGTAACTTATAGGTTTGTCTTCTTGAGAGAATTTATACAGTTTTACTGGACCACAGCAACTATTTATTTGGTGTTCTTTTTAACATCAGAACTGATAAGGGGATTGTTTTGACCCTTTTGGAATTTTAAACATTGTGTAACTCTGTTAAATTAAAATCTTATTGTGCTTATTCATCAAATATTTTTTTTTGTGTGGATGTGAGGCTGGAGATCAGAGGCAGATATGAATATGATTCAAGATTCTTTATCTGTCAAATGTATAATTATAGTACAACACGTAGTGAAATGTTTCCTGAAACGCACCTCGACTGTGCAAAAAAGAAAACATTATATACATTAAGTTATTAAATAAAATAAAACAATCAGGCTGGAATGTGGTAAGAATAAGTGCTGTCTCAGTCATTGATGACTAATTTTCCCCGAAAAATTTTGGCTGTCAAAATTTTTAATGTGCTCAACCCATCTGGAAAACAGAACAAACTTTGGACAAACTGCCCGAAATGCATTGACAGAGACATTTCAGGGATTATGACTCTCCAGATGGGTTAGTCGTGATGACGGTGCGTTAACGCTGACAGCACTAAAAAAATATATAAAGTCGCCAATTTAGGATTTCTTTGGCTTTAAACCAGATGAAAGAGGTAAACCTGAGGATGTAACCAAAGCGGTGTGCCACTTGTGCAGACGTATAGTGCGAGCAAAGTACTTAAACACGACTAACTTGCATGAGCATGTACCTGTCCACCCCCGGCTGAGTATGCTAGACTATCACCAGCTTCTGCAGCTCCATCAACAAGCATTTGGATTCACTCTGAGGAGGCGGCATTTGCTCGCAGATGAAAAAGGGTGCTGATAAAACAGCGCTATTATTTATTTTTTTTCTGTTGACTGCTTCTATTAGCTCCATCATTATTAGCAAACTTACTCATGGTCAAATAAATCACCCTTGTAAAAACTATCGATGATAGGCTGAGCCTATCATCCAGCCGGACATGTTGGGGGTGGTTGGTCAGGAAGTCCAGTAACCATTTGCACATGAGGGAACTGATGCCCAGGTCTGTCAGTTTCCTGATGAGTTGTGAGGGGTGGATTGTATTGAATGCTGAACTGAAGTCTATAAACAGCATTCTGGCGTAGGTGTTGTTGTTGTCCAGGTGTGAGAGGACAGAGTGCAGTGCGATGGAGACTGCATCCTCTGTGCTCCTGTTCTGACGGTATGCGAATTGGTGGGGGTCCAGGGTGGGGGGGAGACAGGATTTTAAGTGTGCTAGGACCAACTGCTCTAAGCACTTAGTGATGATGGGGGTGAGGGCTACTTGGCGGTAGTCATTGAGGCTTGAAGGGTTGGAGTTTTTGGGTATCGGGACGATGGAGGTGGAGTTGAAGCAGGCCGGTACCACAGCGTGGGCCAAGGACAGGTTGAATATGTCTGTCAGCACTCCTGCAAGCTCCCCAGAACACGCTCTGAGAACACGCCCGGGGATGCCATCAGGACCTGCAGCCTTGTGGACATTGATCCTGCTCAGCACCGCTCCTACATCGGTGGGGGAGAGAGTCAGAGGTTGGTGGTCTGGCGTCATGTCTGCTTTGGTTGTAGTTGTTAGGTTCCCTCGCTCAACGGTGTGGAAGCTGCAGGCAGTGGCGCTGCAGGCGACGGCGTACAAAATAAAAACAGGAAGCACACGACAGACACAGAACTTAACAGACACAGACTCATAAGCAGACATAATGACATCACGGAAGGTGGGACCAGGCCAGGCACAGAACAAAAATCTAACAAATGGCGAATCATAACGGAATATCTAATCAGAATAACCAAAAGCATAAAGAAACGCAAAAACACTGAGTCGACTGACTCAGGACCGTGACACCCCTGGTCAAAAGTCTTGTCCCCTCTGGTGTGGCAGGAGACATGTTGGTGGAATCTGGGGAGGACTGTCTTTAAGTTGGTTTGGTTGAAGTCGCCAGCAACAATCAGGGTTCGTACGGGTGCTTGAAATCCTTGAAAATGCTTGAATTTTAATGTTGTCTTTTTAAGGTTTGAAAAGTGCTTGAATTTCAGATGTGATGCTTAAAAGTGCTTGAAAGTGTAGCTGTATTTCATTCACCACAAATAACTGATTGAATAGTTTTCTTATCAGATAGAGAAATAAAATGAGTCGCAAAATGCGGCCCAGCCACCTGGGCTGCCTTGCACCTCTGTCTGTTTCAACGTGTGACCCCGCCCCTCCCCCGGACAGTCGGGGATGAGTGCGCTAACATACCTGTAGGTCGCTGTTTTAATGAGTGTTTGATGGAAAACAACAATGGTGGAGTTTGCGCTCTCTAGTCGCATGATAGGTGAGTACTAGTAAATAATTTTCCAGTACGTGTACGTTACACATGCTATTTTTTTTAAATTATGATTATCATTTTGCTAACTATCAAATTCGCTGGAGAAATGATTGAAATGCACTGAGTGTGATGCAGTACGGCAGCGCTATTATGGAATATGCTGTGAACTTAGCTAACATTACTTAGCAGTGATATGAGTTCATTTACTCAAGTGAAAGCTTTAAACATTAGCCTGATACATAACTAGCTAACTTAAGGCTTTCTGATTAACCGTCTTCATTTCAACTTGGGTTGAACGTGCGGACTTCAAACTATATACTAGTTTTTAAATTGTGTTGATAGGCCACGTAAAACCGATGTTTTTGTTGTTGTTGGGTTTTTTTTAATAAAACAGTGGCGTTTACTCAGGGAAGAAACAGTTAAAACGCCGTTTTCTAAGTAGAGCGCTAGCAAACACGCTTTGCTTGTGAGTGAAAAAAGAAAAAAACACTCCTTTCCTATTGGTGGAAAAATGTACCATGTCGACCAATCAAAAAATGAAATGGCAACATGTGGCATTTGGTTGTTTGGGAAGAGGCGGAAGTTTTAGGAGTGACCGGCGAAAGTGAGCGAAAGAGAGAGGGAGAGTTTGGATACGTGAGAGATTTGTGACGTTTCCCGTGTTTGGAGTCTCAAGTTAGTGTGTTGTCTTGTGTAGTTAGTGTGTAGTGTAGTCGTTGTTTTGTTTTGTGTGTCAGTTCTACTAGTGAACGTCACAGTTGCTGCAAAAAAGACACCAAAAGGCAGATTGCAGTGTAAACGCTGAGTGACACACCTGCTGTCAGACCTGCAGGATTATCCCTGTGCTGTTCTCATCATAATAATATCACAGATGATAAATTCAATAGATTTTAAGTAGATGCTTATGCATTCTTAAAGTCTTATATGTTGAATTGAACTCTGTGATCTGTTCAAAGCCTCCCAGTCAGTGCTGTTCTCCTGTCTGACTGTACATGATGTTATTAGCACAAACACTTTAAAGGTGATCATTTAGGACTTCAGCAATAATACAGACAGCAATGTAGTTAGCAATAAAACGGTTAGTTTTATTTGGAATTAACTTAAAAAACAAACAAACATCCGTCTCCTATTTTTTGTCACACAGGAAAGAAGCATCAATATCTGATGAGAAGACTTATTTATTTCTTTTTGGGGTTGTTGTTTTTTTTTTCAACAGGACAAGAATATCTCTAACAAGTTGATTTGTTCACATTTTCACATCTTAATTTTTAAGGGAAATGTGCATTTTGAGTTTATACGCTATGTATATAAGGCGACTGTTTCCTTTTGCAGTATTTTTGTGTGGTGCGTTTTTCTATGTCTTAACAAAAGTGGAACAAATGTGTTTAAGTTCACCTAGGATGATTTGTTTTAATTTTCACATGGTCTTACTGAGGTGATGCTTAAAAAGTGCTTGAATTTGACCCTGACAGTGTTGGGTAAGTTACTTTAAAAAAGTAATTAATTACTAATTACTTAGTCAATATTGTATTTAAAATACTTTTCTAATTACTGTGTCAGAAAAGTAACTTAATTACTAAATAAGTAATTTAACTAAATACTTCTTAAAATCCCTATAAACCTTGAGTGGGCAAACAATAGAAATTAAACTCTTTAAATAATAAATACATTTTTTAAAGACGGAGACTCTACAGTACGCAGAGGTAGCATCTCTTCCACAATGTAGCCTGCAATCATTTTTTAAGCTCACCTTCAGACACTTTCTGTGCTGCTGAAGTAAAATCAGGTTTTTCTGCTTAGCAGGAGTTGCCGCAGTGTTATCCATGGATGATGAACAAGAATCACTCAGAAGTTTTCGTCTATGCTCTGTGTCAGGCGCTTCAGTAGATTACTCGTGCTATTAACAGCAGCCGATAGTTTTTTCTCCCCAGGACATGGCTTACATATGACTGTAATGTTCTTGTCTGCTTGTTTTAGAAAAGTGAAGAGACGGGAATATGTCCATTTCAAAAAACAGCCACTCGCTTCAGCCGAGTCCGACATCTTCCGGTTTAGAATACGACTGTACAGCAAACTGGCGCAAAATGACGTGCAGCTGCACTACAGCGATGTTAAAGCGGCAGAGTTTACTTCTACGTTTAGAAGACAAATTATTGAAATTAAATAATCATATTCAGCAAGTTTAATTATTTTACAATGTAATGCAAGTACATTGTAAGTAACTGCAATTAAAACACCTAAAAATGAACAGTAATTAGTTACTCTACTTATTCAGTAGAAAAGTAATTTAATTACAGTAACGTATTACACCCAACACTGGACCCTGAAAAAGGCGTATGAACCCTGAACAATAAAAGCAGCCTCAGGATGTTTAGTCTGGTGTTTGTTATTGGCTGCAGAAAGTTCTTTCTTTGCTGGCCATCGTCTTTCCACATTCACGACAGTAAATGTGGTGAATCATGTTGTCAGCTTTACTGTATCTTAGCCAGGGAAACTGGTCAAGCCGATCTCTTCAAAATGTGTACATGTCCCCCCTGTTACTGTCGGTGGGCTCTGGCTTGGAGTCGATCGTATGCGACTCATTATCTGATGCCGTCTCCAGACCAGTGTTAGACATACCCTGAGATATTGGTGGCTCCGTGTCAGAGCACTGGCTATGAATTTCAGATGAATTGGGCCTTAACTTAATGAAAAAGTTATCAATTGTTCTTTTTATCTTTTCTCATTACCCACAGCAACATCCACTTCTGTCTGACCTAGGCTGCTCACTAGGGCTGGGTATCATCGCTGATTTCTATAATCTATTCAATTCGATCAAATTTTGACTCTGTCAGAAATATTATAATTCTGATCATTATCAGTACTGGCACTGTGAGACTTCATCAGACGTGTGATCATCACATCATCACAGCAGATGCCTTTGTGTCTAAGTAACTGGTTTTTACCGACCAGCTCCTCTTTGATAGTTGCAGTGTCCATCTTGTTGTTGCCTGCAGGTGAAGCGATGGGGGAGGGAGAGTTGTGTTCAGTGAAGGAGAGAGGCAGAGAAACGTTGTGTAGATACAAAAGTTGGCAAAAGAGAGGCAAATTTGTGGCTCCACAAATATAATTATAACGTAACATAGACTATATTGATACAAACAGTATTGTCACATCTTATATCTCGTATAAAAGTATATTGATATCTTTTTAAAAACTCAATATATCGCCCAGTCCTACACTGTTGGTTTTTTTGGTTGTTTTTTGTTTTGTTTTTTTTAACTTTTTTTAATTCTGATGTTACAGCTACAGCTCCAAAGCCAGATATTACCGTACTTGGTGGAACTGAGTCTGGGGTGAAGCTGAAGTGTCATGTGGGACATGTTTATCCCGAGCCAAAGCTACAGTGGAAGGACAGCGATGGAAATGTTCTTCCTGCTGAGAACCCACAGGTCTCAGAAAGAGAAGGCCACTACAACGTCACCCTCTGGACTACTGTGACCCCGACTAAAACCAACTGCTTCCACTGTGTAGTCAAACAGGAGGGCTCGTACCAAGTGATTGATCAAAAGATCATTTTGTCAGGTGAGAATCCCTTCAGTGTTTGGTTGTGTTAGTTGGATTTAAAAAAGCATTGTAGCTTTTTTCTGTTCAGGTTTAATCAGTTAATTATATGATCTATATAAATTTATATCTTTTATATTCTTAGTATCATGCTAGGTTTTGTGATATCTTTCAGAAAACCTGTTTAAAAGAACGTCTGAACAAGTTATCACTGGCTGGATGGTTGGATGGGTTATTGGATTTTTAAGTTTTGCTTCACTTCAGCTTGTGCTTATTGTTGCAAAGTGCATCACAATCCGCTTTAACAGAGGTAAGTTAAAATAATTTTTGTAATAATATTCTGTGTGTAGTGATCTACATGTTAAATATATTTGTGAATTAAGCCATTTCTCTATTAGGCCAGTGAAAATTTCAGGCTTTTATCTTTAATAGTTTTGAGATATTCATGTTCAGATGTTCAAAATGACCTTAGACTGCAAAAAGGAAAAATTCCTCCCTTGCCCTGGGAGGAGGTCTTTATCCTTCAAGCTCAGGTTCTCTACCAGAGGACTGGGAGCTTGAGGGTCCTATCGTTGCGTTCTTCTAGACAGAGATCTCAGATGTTGTTCCTGGGATCTGCTGGAGCCACTAGCTTGGGGGTCATTCCCGAGTGCTCCAATTTAAAATATTATTATTATTATTATTATTATGCATATTATAACATTATGCATGCAACTAAAGTTTAACAGCACTCCTTATGTATTCAAATTTTGGACAATAAAAATTTTCTGAAAATGGGAAACAACTGAGCAAGTAATATGTGTGTAATTCTAAAGTCTCAAAAGTAAATAATCAGCTCAGTATTTTTTAAAGTAATCTAATCTGGTCTAATAGTGATGCTTTCTGCTCTAATTTTAAACTTGTTTATTCTGCTTCAGTATTTGGTCAGTAACAGTAAAATTTTCCACATAAATTGATAGAGACAAAAGTAAAAACTGGTGCAAAACATTTCACCACCAAATTAAGAAAATTACATAAAAGATTTCCTGTGCAAGGAAGCTAGTCCGTGTCCCCTGGTTTACGGGTCTAGGGCATGTTATTCAATTGTGTCCAAACACATTTAGTCATCAAATGCTCGACATGTAAATCAACATATTCAGTGTCAAATCAAAGATTTCTTCCTTTCATTGCTTAGTGCACAGCTCTGACTCCTCAGTCATCATTTTAACCCTAAAGTCTGGAGAGACAGAGTGCCCTGAGAAAGCAGTAAAGTTTTTGATATGTTAATCAGAACTTGTAGTTGATGTTTCTAGAAGATTATAAAATCATCTTAAATGTAAACCACTGATTTCACAGGTTTACCACCAGGTTTTGTTTTGACTTCTGGAAAATAAATCACTAAGCCTCTTAAACCCAGAGAAAGAGTCAGTTTCTGTCTTGAAATGCTTGAATGAGAATGCGCTTAAAATGTTTTTGGAATCACAAATAATTTCTGTAAAATATCAAAAAGTTAACTATTTAATTGTGTGCCTAGCTTCAGGCTGTTTTGGGAGTAAAAACAGTCCCTCAGAGGATCCATCTGCAACAGGTTCTGCAACCAGCACAGGAAAATTAAATACTCTAAACAACGGTTCGGTGGTTTGATCCCCAGCTACTTCATACTGTTCGTGGACAAACTACTGAAGCCCAGATTCTGTGTCTGTGTGTCTGTGTCTGTGTGTGTGTGTGTGTGTTAGATAGTACTGTGTACATACATGAATGCACACACAGGAGTTATCATGTGTGCATGTAAATGGGTTTCACCAGTAACACCAGAAATTTAAAAAGGATAGGTGGATTAGGTTGATTAAGTAAAACCCCTAAAAACAATCTGATGAAACTGTCGAGGATCAAATGAATGATAAAATAAAGCAGGTGTCCAGCACAGTTAACCCTCTAAACCTGGGGTGTCCAACTCCAGGCCTCTAGGGGCAGGTCAACCCTGGGTCAACACACCTGAATCAAGTGATTAGTTTATTAACATGCTTCTGGAGAACTAAGAGTAACGGTGTGTTCACACCGGACGCGATAGACGCGAGCGAAAACGCCCCAGACGCCCCTAATTTGATGCGTGCACATTTGCACCTCGACACATGTCCAACACAAATCAATCGCACCTCAAAATTGCATATTCTGACCCGCGTGAACCGGAAATGTGGGAGGAATGTGGAATGAGTGGTCCCTCATGTATTGCAGCACATGAACAGTAGTCGCAGTTCTCACAAGTTGATTCTCAAAGTGCAAACCTTTGTCGATTTTCGAACGTAAAAGTATTATTATGCCGCGTTTTTTCTCCGTCTGCACTTTTGTGCGCCTTTTCCCCTCGCGGTGCAGGTGTGTATTTCCGAATGAGGGTCATAGTGATGGGTGTTGTTGTGCTGTTGTTTCTATTGGACGTGATGGTTATCAGAACCAAACATGATACGTTTGGCAAGCGCAGGAGACAGCACGGAGGAGATTTGTCAATCGGGCTGCAGAATGCAATGCACATTGTTGAAAGCTGTACGGTGGAAAAGGCGAGGCAGTGACTGATGAACAGCGGGACCACTGTATACTGTTTATTAATAAACAAAATATATTCGCGTGGTTTTATTCGCAAGTCAAATGCGCCAGAGGCGGTACACTGATGCCCGTTTCACTCGTTTTTGTGATGCAAATCTGCTTCCGAATTTTCGCGGGACCCGCAATCGCGTGTCATCGCGCTTTTTCCATTGACTTTACATGTAAATCTGACGCTCTGTTCGCGTCTATTGCGTTTGGTGTGAACACACCGTAAGACATGTTGAGGAGGTAATCTAGCCATTTGAATCAGCTGTGTTGGATCAAGGACACATCTAAAACCTGCAGGACACCGGCCCTCGAGGCCTGGAGTTTGATACCTGTGCTCCAAAGCCTAACCGTTTAGCGGTGGTGACAGGCAGCTGATGTTGCTCTGAGACCTGCCCAAAAAAAATTGTGGTTTTACTCCAGACAGAAGAAGTTCTTCTCTATTATGATTAGTGTAGCAAGTTCAAGGTATTCAGATTACTTCTGTGTCAACTGGAGTAAGAAGGTGTTTCGCAGCCTTAATTTTTTTTTAAAAGGGCAACACCCAGTAAGCTGCTCCTCCTTCATGCTCTGTATGCATTTTGGGTTATTTTTTAAAGCTCAAGTTTTTGATTTATATACAAAGATAATGCAAAGGGAACATTGATAATGATTAAGACGTAAAGATGCATAAGTTAGCTGCATTCGGAAGGGTGTAAAATTATAATTTAGCTACAGATTTCCTACTCAATTATAAATCCCCAGCAATCCATACATTTACATTTTATTTTTGTAGAGTTGTACTATTTAAGTTTTGTTTAAATAGTAATTGTTTGTTTTTAGTTTTTTACATTGCACTATTGTCCCATTCACTTTTTCTTGTGCTTCTGTGTTGTGTGTGTGTGTGTGTGTGTGTGTGTGTGTATATAATGTAAATGATCTCTGTGTGTAATATATTGAAATGTTATATGATGTAAATATTTGTTATAAAATATTTAAACATTGAAAAGAATATTTTAATGCACTGTTCAGCCAAATAAAATAAAATAACATTTATATATATATATATAGATAGATATATATATAGATATAGATATATAACATATCTATATAGATATATAACATAGACACACACATATGTGTGTATGTATGTATAGATATATATAGATATATAGCTATATATAATATATGATATCCTGACTAATATATATATTAGTCAGGATATCATGTGATCAGAATGTTGCCTAAGTCCTTTGGCTGTGAAATTTTTGTGGAACCTGTATATATATATATTATTATTATAATATATAATATTATATTTTTCAAACCATTTAAAAAAAAGATTAAAAATGGAATAAAATTTGAGATTAATACCAAAGCTTACACAGTTAAAAAACAAACTGACATTTCCAGAGTGATAACGATTCTTTCTTTTGAAACATCACAGAAGCAGACTGAAAAGTTCAACCCTGAACTGGACAAAAACATAGAAGAAACATTTTTACTCTGGAAATGTCAGTTTGTTTTTTAACTGTGTAAGCTTTGGTATTAATCTCAAATTTTATTCCGTTTTTAATCTTCTTTTTTTTTTAATGTTTGAAAAATATAATAGCATAGGAAACAAAACAAATCAATTAAAATAATTCATGTATGACAAAATGAATGCCCTTATGATCATTTTAGTTAAAAATGAATTGGTGCCTAAATGGTTATTATTGACCTACTGCCAATAAGTTTATTTTGGAAACTAAACCACATTTCTTACATATTTTTGAAATGAAAATGTATATCTTGCACATTTTTCAATAAAAATATTTTGTGAAGAATTGCTTGGTAGTTGTTTGGTATTGTACATTTGTTTTGTATGGAAGTAATCTTTATTAGTGAAACCATATTACCTTCAAATTGGGCTGTCCATCATTACATCTCTTTGCTCTCCAACATCTCCACCTTCAGCCTCTTGTGGATGTACCTATAAATGGAGCACTGCGCTCTGATCGAGAGCTTTGTGGTGTGAAACGGCAAAAGTCAAACTAAAAAGCAGAGGGTTATACAGCAAAGTGAGAAAATCCTTAGAGAAACATTTTAACTGTTGTTAATCTGCCGTCACACTGAACTACCTTTTATTACAAACCGCTGGGTTAACAACAAAGATGACGTCAACATCAAGTGGAACATTGCAGAAACAGAAGGACAGACAGGAGTAGGTATAAGATTACCCCATTTTAAGAAAGGAAAAAAAAAAACAGCATTATTTTTTTCATTATAAAAAACAACAAAATCAGGCTCATGTGAAGCTGGTTAAGAACTCAAATTAACCATCTTTGGCACAATAATCCCAGCTATAAAAACATTTTTACTGAAACAAATCCTTTAATTTGGATTTCATACTCAAAGTAAAAATATCTTTTGAAAAAGTGGTATAAGGCCTCCAGACAATAATTTTGTTTATTTTGTGTGTGAGCGAGAAAATAAAATGAATATTTTTTTGAAACAGTAATTTAGCTTTAAGGGGATTTTAGTTTAGTGTGACTGCCCATCTTTAATAAGTGCAGTTTAATTAGTTTTTAACCACAGGATGGTGTGAGTCAGTGTGGCATCCAGCAGTTGAGATTATAGTAAACACTGGAGGCACATTCACTAATGGAGAGTCTAAAATATTATTTTGTACTGTAAAGATGATTAAACCTGTTTTCCAGATGCTTCAGGTGTTTGCTGTCTGAATCACTACAATGCATGACCTTAACATAGACAGTTAAAGTGCGCCGCCCTGTGGTGCAAAGTGGTATTACTCCACACTCTGGCTATAGTTCACTAATTCAGCTATTTATTTTTCAAATAACGTTATAGTCAAACCTGAAGGCAAAAAAAAAAACTAATGAAAAATGTGTTGATATTGTTTTTTTAGATTTTTACTAAACAGTTTTGAATTTAAAAAGATCTTGTTGAACCTCATACAAAATGTGCACTTAATGGCCATTTTATTAGGTGCAACTGCTCAGCTGCTTGTTAATGCAAATATGTAATCAAATGGCATGCAATTCAATTGTCTGCTTCAAGATGATAGGAAGGCAACAAGAACTCAAGTAGCCGATTGCTACACCCAACGTTTGCAGAAGAGCATCTCTGAACATCAGAACTTGAAGAAGCTGGGCTACAGCAGCAAAAGACCACTGATTGCTAGTCCTGTCAGCTAAGAACAGGAAACTGAGACTGCAATTCACAAAGACTCACCAAAATTGGAAAATAGAAAGTTGCCAATGCATTGCCTGGACTAATGAGTCTCAGTTTATGCGGTCACATTTGAATATTTGGGTGTAAATGTGGTGTAAACAGGCAAAGATGTGAGTCAGCTTGATAAATAAGCCCAGAGCTTATCAATGTAGCTAGAAGTGTGTTAAGAGGTGTCCCTGACAATATCTGACCAATCAGACACGGACTCTGATAGCAGAGCGACTGATTTTACACGCACGTAAAACTGTAACTTTAGAGTTAGTCTTTTTTTTTTTTTTTACTGAAGTTCAGACTTCGAAGGAATTAATCTGTAATCTGTGGTTTTTACAGCGAGAGCCGGAGACATGTGTTCACATGTTTCATGAAACTCTGAGGAAGGACCGGCGCTGAAACATGTCTGTTTTCTTCTTACTGACATTTAATATTAAACACTTTACACATGTAAGTGTGAGAGCTGAAGTTCTCACTCATGAGTTTGCATTTATGTCGTTCAGCACTCATTAATTTATTTACCTGGATTGTTGAACATGTTGATGTTTTTTATGCAAAGCTTAACAGAACTAACACACACACACACACACACACTCCTCCCACTCATGACTGAGGCTTGTTTCCTAAACTTACTCGACCACAGTATCCACTGCTGAGCGTCAGTAGCGTGATCGACGCAGCACAGAGGAACGTTTTTACTCCGCGTCATGTTTTCTTCTGTTTTTAAGACAAAAACTCTGCAGCTTTTATTTTTGTGTCTCTTTCTTCTGACTGTGACTGCAGTAACAACAGGACATGAAAACGGTAAGAACACTAATGCTGAGACATTTATGACAGTAAAGCCACATATTCA